CCTAAGAGGTTTACACGTATTCGTCTCAGGACCAAACATGTTCGAGGAACAAACCATTTTCTAGAACACAAGCCCGCTGTCTTAGTTCTAAGACGATAAACCCGTTTGTATCTAACCAGAGCGTCTCAGCCTTAAATACTCGACGAACATCCCGTGCAAACCACAAAAGGTTCTACGCCAATTTTCTGGTGTGGGCCCATATAGAGACCTCCTAGATGGGACCGGAGTGGATAGGGGTCGAAGGATCGTGCCGCATCACCGATACATCGGTGATGCACCAGCAATGCATCGTCGACGTCGGCGATGCATCGGCGACGTCGACGTGAAGCGGATCAGGCTGTACATCTCGGGTCGGGCGAAAGGGGGGGATAGCAAAGGGGGGGTTTGAGAATCAGCTCACGTAGCTGATTTTCCCGGCGCCTCCTGGCGCCGGGAGGCGCCCATGTATCGAGGAATGGGCCCCTCGGTGAGGCCAAAAAACCAGCTGCATGCAGCAACTTTCGTAACCCCCCCTTTCCCAATCCCCTCCTTTCGTCCGGCCCGAACATCAGGCCGCATCGGCGATGCATCGGCGATGCGGCGTGATCCTCCGACCCCATTTGCTCCGACCCCATTTGGCGGCGCGCACAAGGGGGTGGGGGGAGGGCTTCTTAGAAGCGGGCTGCTTCTTAGAAGGCGGCGGCCGTACATCTACAGATAAGGCCCGCGCCTTCTAAGAAGCAGGGGTGCTTCTAAGAAGCCCTCCCCCCTCCCCCCACCCCCCTCTGCGCGTGGCTGACCCATCTGGGAGGCCTGGAGATGGTGGCGAGACCGGGGCCGTGCGGTCGCTGTCCTGGCCCGTGCCCTCCTGGCCCGCCTAGGCCTTCTGAAGCTTCCAGAAGGGCCTCCACAGGCCTTCGAGCCCTGAGAGCATGGCGCTGCACTGGTTTTTCACGGCGGGCAGTTGCGCACACTTCGGGCCCTGGGGCCCTCACAGATCGAGCCGGCCCGAAGCATGGCGCAGAAAGATGGGGTGCGGGGATCCGGTCGTGATGTTTAGCGATGTTGCAGTTTTTTCGCGACGTCGGATCTCATGGAAGACCTCCCACGATCTCTGGGGACCTCCTGAGGGGGGCGAGCCGAGCATATAAACTGATCTTGGCCAAGACCATCCTGGGACAAGGTTCGGTGCGTATGCACTCCTGGCTCGGCCAGGAACGGACCCACCGAAACCCGCTTACTGGGGGGGAGGACGAGGAGGAGAAGGAGGAGGAAGAGGAGGCGGAGGAGGGGGAGGAGGAGGAGGAGGAGGAGGAGGAGGAGGAGGAGGAGGAGGAGGAGGAGAGGAGGAGGCAGAGGGGGGGGGGAGGAGGAGGAGGAGGAGGCGGAGGCGGAGGCGGAGGAGGCTGATGAGGAGGAGGAGGAGGAGGAGGTGGAGGCTGAGGAGGCGGAGGAAACGAAGGAGGCGGAGGAGGATGCGGCTTTTCCCCCTCCACTGGGGTCGCAAATCCCGTTAGAGGGGCAGGGCAAGGGGAGGGGGGCGGGGGCACGGGCTCGTCAACTCGCCCCCAGGGCCCTCGGAGAAGGCAAGTCCAACCTTTGCGGAGGTTGCACCAGGAGGGCTCCGACACTCCAGGGAGGCCTCAACAGCAACCCGGGCAGCCTCAAGACAGCGCACGGCGTCGCAACAGGGCCCTGAAAGAGCAGCAATCAACACGTGATAATGTTCCGATCGCTTAGGTGCGGTGCTCGCGTTCTCTGGGACGCATAGAGACATGGAAAACTCTACATGTTCTCCTTGAAAAGCTCTACATGCATGTTGTAATTTATCGTTTCCCGAGCGGTGTGGCCAGAAAGCGCCCGCCACGACGCACATACGGTACGTGCGTGCAGCGTCGGCGCGCGCAAAGGTTTCTAGCACTTTGGGTTCCAACGTGGGTCTGTTAATATAGAGGGTGCAATGCAACAAACGTTGCAACACATATTCTGCGTATCTGTGCATATGCGGTCTGGCAAATCGGGGTGGCATCATCGCGACGCCAACGGGCGTCGCGGACTCGAGCCTTTGGCCTGGAAGCACGAAGCGCACGATTACCCAGATCATGAAGTTCTGCAACCAGTCACTGTGCTCTGGGGGTGCGCGGACACGCAAAACACTGTTCAAGTAATCGTTAGCTGGCGCCCGCCTCGAACTCATGCCATCCCCCGCCTTTTCCAAATATCCCTTCGCTGCGGCCCCACCCTCCTCATGCCCCTCCGATTGCCCCGGTCCTCATCATGCCCTTCATCTACACTGCCCCCCCCCATGTGTCAATTCACGTCGTTCCTCGTCGTCCTCCTGCGCCGGATTCGTTCCCCCATCGTCCACATGCCTGCCCTCCTCCCATCCTCTACGCCCTAGTGCACATCATGCCCCCAATTTCTGCCCTCCCCCACCTCCCTCGCCCTCGTGATGCTGACGCCGATGATGCAAATCCTCCTGGGCTCTCTTCCTCCGCTCTCGTCCAGTCCCGTTCATCCTTGGCCCCTCGGCCACCCCTCCTATCGAACCCCTTCCTTCCCACAGCCCACCATCCCCACCCCCCCGCGCCTATGCATGCCCAGACCGCGGCCCCCTCCTGGACCAGCCTGGAGACCCGCGGAAACTCCCGCCCAGTGACCACTCCAGCAAGAGGCGCGCAACAAATGCACAGTTGGAGACACGAACTGTGCATTTCGACCGCGCACGACGCCGCCCCTGGACCAGCCGGAAGAGAAACGCGAAAGTTCCCGCCCATTCAACACCACCCGCGAGGGGCACACTCCAAATACACAGATGGGAACGAGATCTGTGTACACAGATCACACCACGATCTGTGTAAACAGCGGGCCCACACACGAAAATACACAGTTGAAGACACAAACTGTGTACACAGATCACACCTTGATCTGTGTATTTCGAAAAAGGTGAACGCTCGCCACCTCGAAGGCGCCCCGACTTTGCCAACCCAGAACCGGGGTCGACATGCCCAGCTGGGGGGGGATGCAAATACACACTTCCCCGGCCCAGGGCGCCCCCGAGAGAACCGCAAATGCACGCTCCCCTGGCCCAGGGCGGCCGCGGTGCAACGCGGCGCCAAAGCGGCCCCCAACGGCCCGAAGACGTCCCAAAAAGGCCTCGAAGGACCCCAAAGAATGCCGCGCAGCAGTGCGAAAACACGAGAGATGTCACATGTCAAGGACCTCTTAACAGTCAAAGCTCCACGCGTCGCCATATAGATCACTGCTCTGGCAAGGGGGGCGGACCTTGCCGCAGGCACCTATAATTTACATGTTAGCGATGCGACTGTGCTCGGCGGTTGTGCCGCCCGCATTTTGGGTGCGCCCCGAAATCTCGCATTGGCAATCCCCTCTGTTTGGTTGCGCCGCTGTGCTCGGATATCGAAAAAAACATTTACCGCTGACGCGGGCACGCGGCGCCAGGGACTTCACTTTTCGAACAAGGAGGGTGGGTGAGGTAGGACGACGGATGGTGGAGCAGGGAGGCAAAGAGGAACGAGGAATAATGAGGGAGGTGGGAAGGGGCTCTCCCCCGCCAGAGCCGCGGACGCTTTCGACACCATCTGGGGGAGGGAGGAAAGGAAGGGGAACGGAGCAAGGGCGAGGACGACGACGGGAAGCAAAGTGTCCTGGGTCCGCATATAGCCATATGTCTGCGATTCGGGTGCGCGCGCTTTCTTCGAGGCACTTCAAGCCAGACCCATACTGAATTCACTAATTCCTCAAAACTGTGTAAACACTCTGTCCTCTGTTCCCTCTCCTATACAACGGCCTCATAACAGAGGGGCAGTGTATTCCAACTAGCACTGCGTCGATCGTTCAAACTTGAAACGATCGCGGCCTCGATCATTCAAAGTTGAATTCCGTCGGATCATGTGGCGTTCCCGTGCCCCTCAGTGCTTCCGCGTCGTTCTACCATGCGGAATTTAACCTTGAACGTCTTCGCTGGCGTCGCTGGCGCGCCATTGCCTGCAGTACCAGAAGATTCCTCGGTGCGCGCGTCGCCCCTAGGTGGGCGACGCACACACAGTATCAGCATGCTGGGGCGACGCCGATTCTCGCCTTTTCGGGGGTCTGCGAACCAAAAACAGCCCGAGAGGGCCCCCAGGCTGGCCCAAGAAGACCCCCGAAAAGACCTGGAGACGGCCCGGGAGGGCCCCAGGACGGCCCAGGAAGCCCCAAAGGTAGGAACTCAAACACCCAAGAGGACCAAGTATACCCCAAAAAGAGCCCACGAGGGGGAACCCGCAGTACCCTCCGGGAGCCCTTCCCTACAACCCAGACACCCTCGGGCAATGAAAAAAAAACACGGGAGGTTTTTCCTAATCTTCGGCCTCTGGAGGCTCTTACTGGCCCTCGGGACCGTCAAAACGACTCAGGATGGAAAACTTGTCCAGGGGTATGGCTCGAGACCTCTGAGGGTGGAACTTCAGGGGGGGAACAAAAACATGACGTCTGGTGTGTGCGAAGATGCCCCCCCCAAACCCCCAACATGGCACCAAGATCGGGTCGGGCGAAAGGGGGGGATAGCAAAGGGGGGGTTTGAGAATCAGCTCACGTAGCTGATTTTCCCGGCGCCTCCCGGCGCCGGGAGGCGCCCATGCATCGAGGAATGGGCCCCTCGGTGAGGCCGAAACCAGCTGCATGCAGCAAATCTCGTACCCCCCCCCTTCCCAATCCCCCCCTTTCGCCCGACCCGACAAACCCCCAACATGGCAACAAGAGGCCCCCAACGAGCCCCCTGGCACAAGACTGGAGACTTCGACGGCCGACGGGGCGCCGGAGGTCGACCGCCCGGGGGGCCTCAGGTCGGGCTTGGGGGGACCTCAGTGAAGGGGCCCTGGGACACACAAATAAGTACACACTCATAAAACTATTCTCCCATATGTTCATATATGTTATGTTTTTTTGTGTCTTTCCCCCCATTTTCCAAATTTTCCCATATTTTCCTGGGGGTCGACGATTCATTGTGTCTGTGTTTTTTCCCCTCCTGACTCAGGTCTGGCGAGACCAACCTTGTCCAGCGAACCCGTCTGGCAGCCTCCGATCTGTGCTGTGGCTACCCTGGCCCGCGTCCGCCCACAGCAGGCTGCGCCCGAGGCCCTGCCCGGGCTCCAGCGCACTCGAGGCCCGGTCGTGCTGCCCGGTGGCCACCAGTCGTCCTCGCCGCCGGCTCTCTCCTGGGCGCCACCCCGAGAGCACAGCGCGCCTGCCCGCAGCGACCTGCCGCCCAGCTCGGCCTCGTCGACTCAGACGCCCCCCGACGGCAGCTCCGGCGTGCTCATGGCCCAGTAGTACTGCATGGCGGCCGCCTCGGTCGCGCCCTGGATGTCCTTCAGCGGGTCGGGCTCGCCCCCGACCACCTTGAGGACGAGAACTGCGCACATACACCGGTCCTGCCCATGCTCGTCATGAGCCCAGGGTTGGTGCACACGCCCTCTTGGACAGTCCAAAGGGCACAACTATCGGCGGCGCGACCGGCGGGGAAGTGCGAAGGGGAGGGCAGTCTCAGAAGGCTCGGAAGTCCCCCGGCCTTCTGAGAAGTTACTAGGCCTTCCCCGAAGACGCAACAAAAATTCTCAGAGGGAGCGAGGACTTCTGAGAAGTCCCGCCGCCCTCTGAGAAGGCCCTCTCCCTCTCGATTCCCCCCCTCGCTCGCCGCCGAACCTGCGCACTGGTCCCGCGCCCAGGACGGGCCTGGCAAGCATCGGCCCATGTGCTCAGTCCCCGTCGCCTGATCCTCAGCACCACCTGCGACGTCGTGGTCCTCCGCAGCCTCCTCCGCCCGAGGCCCAGGCAACTTCTCGCCCGTGATCATCTCCTGGGGCGCCGGAGGGTACACCAATACCGTGGAGGCGCGCAACAAGAATCAAATGCTCTTCGCCAAGGTAACCTCGGTTGCTTCGATCCTCGCGCTGCGCGGTGACGCCCCGCGGCCGCTGAGAAACTGCTGCGTTCAGGGTGCTCCGCGTGTCCCCTCAGGTGTACCTCGCGCGCGGGTTTTTGTCCAGGGTTCTTGCGATCGCGCCCGCACTGCACTGCTTGCTGATGTGGGGGGGGGGGCGTACGTCCAACACGAACGTGTGGACAGCCACACGGCGTCCAGAGCATACCTCACGTGCTATTGTCATCATGGTTCTTAGCATTACTATTCGTATCGTTTTATGTACGTTTCGTATTTTTGTTATGCTATCATACTGTTATTCTATGTCATCTTATTGACATCATTATTGTTATGCTTCTTCTGAAAAATCTATTATTAAAGCAGCTATGCCCAGGCGGTATGGCCAGACAGCGCCTGCCACCTGGCACGCGCTGCCAGGTCTGTGAGCGCACGTGTCGCCCCTCGAGAGCCCGGAGCACCTTCTATTCGGGGGGAGGGCTCGGGGTGACATCCGGATGGACTCTCTCGGGCGTTGGCAACACTGGGTCGAGTGGGACCTGGCTTAGTGATGTGTACTTCGGGGGCGGCCAAAGAGTTGAGCAGGGACCGACCGTCCTAACATTCCTGTAATCCTACCACGAAGTGTTCTTACAACCCAGAAGCGTTCTTAAAACAGTTCTGATAACATAAACCCGATGTGTTAAAACAAGACAGTTCCAGCCAAACGTGTTCTGATAACATCTCGTGGAAACCACAAAAAAGGTTCTTAGACCATTGTTTGGTGGGCCTACAGGCACGCCGGGACGCTCCGCCACTGCTTGAAAGACGGGGGCGTCCAAGAAGGGGGGGGGCGCACATCATGGCCGGCGGCATGCGCGCGGCCCACGGGAGGACCAGGGACGCATCGAGATAAGAAGACGCGCCGCGACGCCTGGGGACATATCGTGACCCTCGCCATGAGATCCCACCCCCCCCTGGTCATCACCCCCCCTCTCTGCCGCCCCCCGCATTCTGGGGGACGCCCGCCCCGCCCCGCCACGAAGACGAATCCGTCTGGTGGTTCGCCTGTTGCAGCTCCGGGCCTCGAAAAAAAAACACCGACGCGGCATTTCAGGCTGCACCTTTTCGAAGGGGCCCCAGGACACACACACACATAATAAATACACACAAATAAGAAGATACCCCACATTTTCCCATATTTGTTTGATGTTCGTCTTCCCCCCCACTTCCCATATCTTTGCACATTTTCCTGGGAGTCGACGATTCATTGTGTCGGTGTGTTTTTCTCCCTCCTGACTTTTGCCCTCCGCCCATGGAGACTTCTCGGGAGGCCGACGCGCACGCGGCGGACCCTGGAAACCCCGATAGCCCAAAACGAATCCATCCCTAGGGGGCGCATCTTGCACTCCCGCCGCCTTCCGCCGCCCCCCCCGCCGGTTTTTTCGCCGGCGGGGGCGACCTCGTCCTGCTTCCGCACGACCTTCCGCCGAGGAAGAAATGGCAAGTCCGTCGATCCTCGGATGCAAAACACTTTTCGGAACGCTCGACATGGTGAGCGTTTTCTGTTGCAGCGCTTCGACGTTGGGCGGAAGGGGAGGGCTTCTGGCTCCGGACCTCTGCTTACTGCGACTGTTTGAAAAAACCTGCTCCACCTGCTCGAAACAGCGCCAGAAACAACCAAGATCTGCTCCAAGGGGGAGGTGAAATGCGCCGGCGCCGATCGGAAAAAATGGGGAACAAAAAGACGACCACATGGCAGAAGCATGCGTTTGTGTATGTAGGTTCACGACCGAAGAGTCGAACCCACAGTGTTTCCCGCAGGTAGAGGTAGGAAAGGAACAGGGCCGCGAGTCTTTTTCCAGTGCGCTTCGAATGTGGCAGCGCGATGTGTTATACCAATACCTGAACCGATACGTCAGCGGTAGATAAGGATGGTTATATGAGCGGACTTCACACAAAGTTTCTGGGTGATGCCCAGCATGGCAAAAACATGACTTACATGCATATTTTTAGCGGTGATTACTTATCTCTACTGCACTCGCTGGTCTAAGCGACTCGGATCCGAGATGGGAAGACAGAGCGGAGTTCGAACTCCGCAGTTAAACTTCACACATCATCCAGGCATGTACCGCTCCTCTCCAAAAGGGGTTGGGCGGGAGGGGAGCCCAGACGACTGCTGAGTGACACGATGAGGTGATGAGACCGACATCCCAAAATCCGCTAAGTCATTAATGTGCACGCACCCCCATGACTTACATGCATATTTTTTAGCGGTGATTACTTCTCTCTACTGCACTCGCTGGTCTAAGCGACTCGGATCCGAGATGGGAAGACAGAGCGGAGTTCGAACTCCGCAGTTAAACTTCACACATCATCCCGAATCAGAAAACCCAAAACAGGTTCTGTTCTCACACTGATAAGTACAGAGCACGAATGACAGCTAACAGCGTGAACGCCAGGGCTCTCTGGAACCTCTTTGGGATATGGTGGGCGGGGCGAAGCGAAAAGAGGTGGGGCTGGTGGCTGTCACGGGAACGCTTGCCAGGGCGCGCGAGGCCTAGGCGAGAACAGTCGGCAGACTGTATATTGAAAATGTACGAGACAATCGGAAATCTGCCACGACCTCCACATCTGCACATGTGCGAAACCTGACAGAGAGCACCCTCTAATTCGTTAAACGCTCCGCCGACGTCTAAACTTAGCTTGGCACGGCACACAATCATAACTGGGAGCCTCAACTTTACAGCAAGGGTGATCAACGAACGAGTTCGCATTATCGTGTCCGAGTTGGTTACTGAGACACACAAGGCAGCAATGCGCGACTCCTGAAAATCACGGCGCAGCGCGAGCAAGGACCCAAGCGACAGACCCCGCTCGGCCAGGCCCCTGGTCAAGAAACCCTGCCGCGTGACATGGTGCGGCTGCAGGAAAGCGTCGCCGACCATCAGCACGAAGAGACGACGCTCCCCTAACGGGAAGGGAAGCGGGCCTGGGCACCGTGAGGCCGTGCAGCAAGATCTCCACGAATCTCTCCTCGCACCGCTCGGCGTGTCTCTGGCGCCAGGCCGGGTGGCGGGCCCAAGTGCTGGCCCGGCGAGCTCCCTTCTCGTACCGCACCACCGACCGATCGGCTTTCCAGCCGCCCCTCTTCTTGATCTCGACCAGGGTACGCCTGCGGGACGCCATGTCCGCGCTGGCGCCGCTGTGCCGAGCCTGGTACACCACCAGGTCGAATCCGAGGTCCTTGGCGACTTTCGCCACTGTCGCCGCCAGCTTCGGGTAGGTGAACGACCACACCCGACGGCCCGCAGGCAAGCTCTTCAGCGTCGTGAGCATCGGAGCGAGGCGGGACCACCAGGCGTGGTCGAGCTCGATAGTCACGTCGAACTCCTTCGCCTTGGACGGGACCCCCTCGGGCTCGGGGTTGAGCTGGACCGTCCAGAAGGTCGACACCCGCGACGGCGGGTACAGGTACTCGGGCATCAGGGCCATCAGCTGGATGGGCCTGGCGTAGGTGCTCCACATCAGGCAGATGAACAGCGCCATGTCGAAGCGGCCCAGCAGCACCAGCCCGTTCACGATGGCACACCAGATGGGCCACGCCTCGGGCAAACGAGATGTGGACGGGCAGAGGTTCTGCCAGCCCTTGAGCGCCCTCCAGCTGCGTGACAAGGTGTGGGGTCCGTTCTTGCCCACTCTCGGCTGGCCGTGAACCACGCCAGCGATCAGCTTCATCCCGCGAGCAGCCGAGACGCCCCGACGGATCTGCTGGTCCATGTAGCTCACCAGCAGGTCGTCCAGGTCCGTGATCGGGATGCTGGTCAGCTTCTCGGCATTCGCGAACGTCCTGAACGCAGCCACCTCTTGGGCGTACTGGGCCTCCGTCCTCGGCCTCACGGCGGCGTGTTCTCCCGCCGTGAGGTGGGCGAAGTCTGGCAGCGTCCTGGCCGACAGGAGGGTCTCGAGGGCCTTCTTGGCCCGCGGCGGAGGCGTACGAGTACGAATGGTCGTACCTGGCCCTGGCTCGGCCTCGGGCTCGCTCTCCGAGCTCGAGGGAGCCCCCGTGTCCAGTCCACGCTGTTGGCGGCGCCGCAGCTCCGACAGCAGCTGCGCGACCTCGTCGCCCGAGATCTCCCAAAGGCCCGCCGCCGTCTTCAGCGCCCTGGCCCCCGCCTCGCCGTTCGCCCACGGAACACGGGAAGTGCGCGGCCGTGAGACGGATGCGGCCTCCGTCGACGGGGGCCGACGCTTCCTCACAGGATCCGCCAGTGCGACATCGCTGCGAAGCTGAAAGGAAACCAAAGTGCGGGTGCTCTTGGATGGAGTCGCTTTCGGATGAATCATGTAAGTCAGGTTGAGCCAAAACGGCTACGGAAGAAGGACCGAGGCGAGAGCCAGCGGAAGAGGACGTCCCAAGCGAAACGCGGCCGCACGCACGGGCGGCGAGGCGACGCCACCACCCCCAAGGCAAGGATGCAAGGGGCCCACCCGCGGGCGGACAGGATGCACAAGACCCTTGGCGTGCGGCCGCCGCGCCATCTCTTCCAAACCCCCCTGAGGCTCGTCGCCAGCACAGGGCTCCACCCGAGAGGGGCTCGCAGCAACAGGCGGAAAACCGTCATGGGGGGCGTGCCCTATCGGATCGGGGTGGTCTTTTCCATCGACCTCCTTTGACAAAAAATGAGACTTGGGCTGCAAGAGACGGGGCGGGGCATCAGCAGGATTCTTTTCGGACGGCACCCACCGAACCGAGAGACGAACGTTGCGGCTGAGACACCACGCGGCCATCCTCCTCAGGATGGCGAGAACTTTGAAGTTCCGACACCTCCACCTGCCCACTGAGAGCACCAGGCCGAGATTGTCGGCAAAAAGAACCTGGCGAATGTTGCGGCCAAAACGTGTGCGGGTCACGCGCTCGAGCCCGCGGAGCAGCGCCC